AGGTGCGGAACTTAACCACCTGTAGAATAGCTAGAATCATGTGTAGACACATATACGAAGAAAAGTACACCAAGGATGTTATATCGTCTAACTGAAGGAGCTGTAGAACATTAATTGGTGTGTTGACAGGTCACTGTCTGGTCGCATCACATGCCCAAAAACTAGACCTAACTCACAACGATGCTTGTGGGAAATGCAACGAGCCGAATGCAAAGGAAGCTCTGGAGTATCTACTGTGTAATTGCCCGGCTCTCTTGAGAACTCGACAAAAATACTTGAAGGCTGTCAGTTTTACAGGACTGGAGCATATACCTGAAGTTTCTGTTGGAATCCTTATAAATTTTGTTAACGAAACGCACATTCTAATTTATGTATACAATCGCTAAAATAAGACAATCTGATCTGGTATAGCAATGGACCTTAATGGTCTACGCGTGGCCTTTTTGGTCTGCCAGCATAATCTAATCTAATCTATTCAGGTTAGTAAACTGAAATATCCCAAAACAGCAATCAATTTTTTAATTAGTCTATTAAGACTTATAATTTAATTTCACACCTTTTAGGCTAAAAATGATTTCGAAAAATTTACTGACCAAGAGCTTAGGTTGATTCCAAGAAAGAAAGTAGATGTAGTTTTTTATAAACCTTTCTTATTATATTATATTTTAAGATTTTATCTAGAATGTGTCATGAGATCTCTCAATATGCAAAAATAGCTTAAAGGCTTCTTTATAAAATTTCAGGCCCCTGTATGCAATAAATTTTATTCTATTCTATAACAGCGCTTGATGATGCTTTGCCGGCCATTCGCATTCACACTATCTGGAATAAATTAATAAATTAAAGTTTAAATACTTAAGAAGATAACTTTATTATATATATTTCCATAATTTAATTCAATTTAAAATATTGTTTCAAAATATAAAATAAATGAATAGCAAAACCAAAAAGTTACTTGTGGGCTGGAATGTTGTTCTGACTTATCAAGCCATAAATTTAAATCAAATTCAACTTAAAAGCATTAAATACTTTTCAAAATGCTTTTGATATTTCAACAGATAAACTTAACTCAGCAAAAACGTAATTCGCAATATACAAATTTGGTCAAATTTCAGCCGCAAAAATGCTCTATATACGAGATTTATTCAAACCAAACCAGAATCCGCATAAAAATGGTTTTGCCCCTTTTTTAGAAAAACAGAATTAGCTTTGGAGTCATAAATTTCCGCACACAACAAGGATAGTAGAAATATTTTGGTAAGACCAAAGAGACTTTAATTTAACCAAGGAGAAAGTTTTGGTATAAATTTTATTTTAACTCCAAAAACTTATAAATTAAAATACTTAAAACTAACAAAATTAGGTTTACATTTCAGTGTGGCAGTACCGCTTTAGGAAAACCATATTTCCTGCCTGAAAGTATGCAATAATTTGAAGCAGTAAATGTGTCGGAAAATAAACTTAATTTACGTACTAATTTATTAATGAAATAATAAGCATTTCATTTCAAAAATTAGTTTTCAATCATATATAAGATTTATTATAAATTTATTAAATTTTGATTTTTATAGTTTGTTTTACATAATTTAAAAATTTCTATATAAAGTTATTAAAATATTGTTTGGTTAAGTAAGTGTCCATCCATTAAAAAATGAAAAATATATAGAAATAAACTAATGAGTAAACTGTTTATATATTGTAAATAATTTGTTTAAGAGCCCTTTAAAATTATAAATAATTGCTAATGACAATTAGTTTGTGGAATATGTAAAAAATCATTAGCGACAGCTGACGACATTAATCTTAAACTTATAAAAAACTATAAAAAGGTTGAATTAAAAAAAACTTAATACAAAAGGCATTAAATTATTTTTAAATCAATTGAATACTACAACAAGATTTTTACAGGTGATTGTTAGGCAAAATTGTTTCAGAATTAGAATATAATTTGCAGAGCAGCACAATATCTTCTTAGCTAAACATAAACAATTCAAACTCTAAGTAAGATATTGAAAGGCAATATCTTGTATTGCCTTCTTTAAGTGTAAGAAAGCCATAACTAAATGCATATGTCAGACAAAAAAGTTGCTTCAGAAAGTTACTCCAGAATTATATTGCCAGCGGAAAGGAAACTAATCCACTCAGTCATTAATAATAGAAGGCTTTTCACAGGACAGAACATCAATGCTCTAATAAATTATATTGTATTTATTTATATGCTCGAAATATAAAAAAAAAAAATTGTAATGGTCTAATATATATAGCTAAAAAGACAACCCCTATTCTTGGGATTAATTCAACCTAGGCATAGTTCAACGATATACATGCGGGTGTTTTAAATATATTTTGAAATTAATTTTATAATAAATAGTTTTTTAATAAACGCCATAACATGAAGAACATATTATTTAGGCAATTTGCACTGCGATTAAGAGATATTATGTTATGCCTCCTTCATGAACTTAGAATATTTCTTCAAGTCCAACTTTTTCTATAAATTGTAGTATTATACAAACATTACAAAGTCCTATTTCTTTATTTAAAAAGAGATATACACTTACGTATGAGTTGCGTTTATAAATTAGTGTCGAACAAACTCACAGCTGTTATTTTGAGGTCTCATTCTCTTCTCTACAATATCTATAAGAGTGAATTCCTAGTTATGTTAAGGAATAGTTTAATACAATGCCAACTCAAAATTTCTATAATTTTAAATTATTTCTACTTAGGTGCATTCAATCTTGAAACTGAAAGACTAATTAAAAGTCCCTGTAACCGATTCCGATTGTTGTAGCCGTTGTAGATTATAATTATTGGTTTCTTCTTTCAATAATATAAAGAAAATAGTATTTGCTTATTTTACAATGTTTACTGCTCTCTAGAAATCGTGATTAATTATTATTCTAAATCATCCTGAATACTCTGTTTCAACCAACAACAACAAATAATAACAATATAACATTCCTCTCCGAGGCAACTGTGATGCCATCAGTTGACAATACACGTTTCCGAGTGAACATTTTGACTGTTGTATCAGCACACACCCTCTCAACCCTCGCACCCTCCTGCAATAAAAAATAGTGAATTTAAATAGCTTTTAAAAGCTTTTTATTACCACTTTTCTGTATTAACTAATACGCTTTAATTCATACAGATATAAATGAAACACAATTTTATATTATGATTAAGAAAACATAATTATACAAATAGTTAATATTGTTTATTTATGGCAGTATTAATTTTATTGAACCATTTTGGAACTAGATCTTCGAAATGATAAGAAGTGATTTTACAGTTACTGATAATATTCTCAGGTAATCCATTTCGGATAAGATGATACTTTTTACTTTCAGTATCGGAAACACTCGGTAACTACGTTCCATAATAACAAATTTATTTTAGTGAAGAATAGTAACAGAAATACGTTTGTGAATTTCTTATTAAAATCTGAAGACAAAGTATTTAAAACATAAATGCCTCAGCAATTCTTCTACTAACTTTAAGGATTGACAATTAATCCCAACATGGACTTTAGTAAAATATGGCCTATACTCACACTCATAGTCAGTCAAGTCATTAACCCAATTACAACATTCTGTGTGTCTAAGTTAATTCACGAGTTAAATAATAACTATAGTTTGGGCCATCTTGCAGTTTGGGCCACTTGTAACGACCTTTCCGGCCATATCCATAGCTGGAGTATAAATCAGAATATATAACAGGGTTCGGTATAAGAATTAAATAAAAAGAGACAATTCTGTCTTTTTTTTGTATTTTATTTCTTAAATTAAAGAGTTGAAGCGGATTGAATAGACATAATTCGAAAAGGTGTAAGCATTGAAATGACTGAATATGAACAAAATTCTAAAAAGCATAAGCGTTGAGCCGACTGGAACCAACGTGGAGAGTAGTGCTCGAGTAGAATTTTCAATAGAGAGGAATTCCAAATAGCGTAATCGTAGGAGTTGAGACAATGGATATTTACCAAAATCTAGTGAAATCTCATCTTGTCAGCTGAAGCCAGACAAAGATTCCTTCCCGCTGCCACGCCTGGGCACGCTCGTCAGTAATCGCCAAACGGAATATAGCGGAAAATGATCTGTGTCCCGTCAGCACAGATACCGTGGTGCTGAGCAGGTTCCGTCTTAGTTAAAGTAGCTGACTAGTTCTTTTCTTGCCTAAATTAGACCTAGAAATCTGACATTGGGGTTCGTCAGCCCAGTATTGCTTGACTATGCTCAGGTATTTTTGTTTAATTGCCAGTTTAACTGTAGCAAGTGGAAGTATTTACATTACATTAAACTATCTTTAAACCAAAAATTTTTAAAAAACGAATATTATAGATATTATAGATTTGTCTTGTTTTAGAAATTTTTTTTATCGGTATTAATCCACATATACCAATAATTACAAATGGAAACATAGTTATCGATATTAATAGATTAAATAAAATAAATAAACAGAGCCATATTGTGAGGCATTTGTATACTTTATAATATTTTATACTATATACTTTATTATACTTTTATTTTAATCTCCATATCATATGCACAGTTACTAAAACTCTGCTTGAAGGTAAAATATATATTCATTAGTGAATACTTAATCGTCACTTATTTAATGCAAGTGTTATTCTGTCATTAGTGACGAAACAATTAACCGTATTATAAAAATCATATAATAAACTATAAAGAAAATTAAATGAAATTAATTAGTGAATACTTAATCGTCACTTATTTAATGCAAGTGTTATTCTGTCATTAGTGACGAAACAATTAACCGTATTATAAAAATCATATAATAAACTATAAAGAAAATTAAATGAAATTAATTTTCCATGTTTATGACCCATTAGTGACTTCTTTTAAGTTTAATCTACTCAAATGCATATAATTAATGCACATCCGCCCTTTTGTCTGTGATACAAATTATGCTTAACACATTTAGCAGCTCCAAAATGCAGTCAGTCACACATCGCTGGGTTAATATCGCTGAGAAATATGGAAGATATTGCACAACATCTCAATCGAATACGTAATCTGCGAGGTTTGCATAATGCGTGTTAAGTCAGGTCAATATGCGAAAAACATAACAAAAATTGCGGAAAATTAAAGTCAAAATAGTTCACACGGGTGTTGAGTCTAACATAGCCACCCGCTACCGTCCGTGCTGACCGTGGCCTACACGCCGAGAAGTTACCGCACCAGTCGCGGCACAGTTTTATGACGTCTTCCTAACAGTTTCCGTTTGTGGTTTTCGCTTCGCTAATAGATTTTTCTCTACTGGGATTTTGCAAAGTTTGGCTTCATGACCCGCTTGCCGCGTGATACGCTACCGCGAATGCGAATTACGCACTCTAATGATTTTGACCAAAACAAAATTCACATACGGACAAAAACCGAAATTTTTTTGATGATATAAGTTCTGCATAGATTATAAATTTGTTTGTTTAGTGTCGAAAATATTTTAGTTCATTTTTAAAGCTTGAAAAGTGCATATCGCGGCTATCCCACAGCACTACGTAAACGCATAGAAAATGTTTGTATTTAGAAAAACTTTTCGTGGGTGTGTATGGCAAATTTTATTATTCTTAATCGGTTTAAAAGTGTTCCATTTGCGTTTGGTGTGTGCCATTTTCAATTCGGATGCAATCCCACCTGCCAAGAACAACAATTTGGAGCAATTTAACTATTGTTTACGGCAAGCGAAACATCCAAGCCTTACGGAATGTGTGGGTCGCACGGCTATAAATTTCCTGCAACGCTTCGATGAAAAGGAAAATGTCACAATTTTGAATGATGTTGTCTCTGCGAAGGATGACAAAATTGCGGCACGGTCTTTGGTGAATATATTGGACACAGATCCTGTGGATTTTAGGTGTGCAATAATAGAAAAATCTATTGCTTGGTGGTATTTAAATTTTTTAGCATTTAAATTCTGGAGATATTTGAACTTTAATATTTGTGGTTGTTGTTGATGACTTCATTATTTTCAAAAAAAAAAAAATGGACTCCTCCATTTCATATATTTCAGTTATATTTTGAAAGTGTGAAATAATTTTTATAGCTAAAAATAACTTGACTTTTGATCAAAATAAGGTTAAACTAAGTTGAAGGCGAGGGTGTTGATATAAATATCAACACTTTCATGCTATGCGATTTAACGCCCACTTTTTTGCTCTAAAAATTTCCAGAGGAATATGGGCTATATTAAACCTTGTATTAATTTTGCTGCTTGTGTTTTTTGTGTTTTTTTTTGAAAAACCACATAATCTTCCAAATGAATTCAAGAAGATTCGATAAATCTATCTTTGTTTTCTAATCGAGATCTGTGAAACAAACGCTCTACTAGACATTAAAGTAGCTTCGTCTATTGTCTGATTGTTTCGCTTTGGATTCAATGCTTCGCTTCATCCGATTTATCGCCCACTTTGTTGCTCTAAAAGTTTCCAGAGGAATATGGGCTATATTAAACCTTGTATTAATTTTGCTGCTTGTGTTTTTTTTTTTTTTGAAAAACCACATAATCTTCCAAATGAATTCAAGAAGATTCGATAAATCTATCTTTGTTTTCTAATCGAGATCTGTGAAACAAACGCTCTACTAGACATCAAAGTAGCTTTGTCTATTGTCTGGTTGTTTCTCTTTGGCGTCAATGCTTTGCTACATCTGCAGTCAAATTATTACACTTAAAGCTCAGTGCTTTTCATACAGATGTTCTAAGCATGTTAATAGCTATTAAAGTGGTAATTAAGGCGTGTGTTAAAGCGAACATAAAATTTACACCTAGTTGCAACTATTATCAATTGAGTTACTCTTCAAAGATTACGTAGCTCTTTAAAATATGTGTTTCAATAGCCTTAATTAATCCTGATCAGCTTCACAAAAACACCGAAGATCGGAGTGTTCTATTCAATAAAAATAATTGTGAAAGTTTCAGATAATACAGTAAAATCGATGCGAGAGCTATATAGAACTGCCATAGCTCAAACTTCTTTTACTCAAAAATTCTATAGTTTGAACTTAATAGTATGCAACAGGCTTGAGAGAGCAAATTACACACAATTCTTGAACTCGAAGTCTTAATATGTCGAACATTCTCTTTGCAAAATGGTACTTTGAGTTATGGAAATTTGACTATATAGATGAAGGTACTAATTCATCTATCTGTTGATAAAAAATTTTCTCTTGTTTTTTGAGCTAACATAATTAAGTCCTGTTCAAAATGTTGCTGTACATTTAAAAAGATATAGTCGACAAATAAATGAAATTGATAAGATTAATACTTAAATAAAACAAAGTCAAAAATTTTCTTATTGAGCATTGGATTTCAAATATTTGCTTCACTCAATTTAAAAAATCAATTAATAAAACTTTTGAAAAAACTCATGATAGAAGTTACTTATCACTTATTTTTTTATACACTGTATTATATATATAGCATATATACTATACCATACTGTAATATACTATATTATTTTATAGCAATATTTTTTTTTTTTCAGAGGAATTTTAGAAAATGCTGGTGCTGTACTTGGTCAACGCAGCCTCGAATGGCATATGGATGGATTATACCCGGGACTTATGTTTAAAATTGGACCCACGGCAGATGCAAATAGTTTAGCTGAATTTGTGCTGGACACAGCAGTTGATGAAAGACAATTCGGTTATGAGGAACCAAGCACGGGTAAGCAAAACACATTTAACAGAAAATAAAGCAATGTCAACTTTTAGGCTTAAATAATTTAAAATACGGGTGTATTTTCTTTCTTTCTTCCATAATATTTCACACACTTAGCACGTCTATTAACCAAACAGTATTTACTGCCATTTCTGCTTGGCTTGAAGTTCAATGTGATAGCTTTGGTGCCTCTACTCTTCGCTGTCATTTGTCTACTGCTGAAGAAATCGCTTTTCTTCGCAAAGTTGGCAATTTATGTGAGCAGCTTTTTAGGTGTTGGCGGTGCATTGGGTGCTTTGGGAAATTTTGGTGGATTCAGTGGATTTGGTAGCTTTTTTGGACCACCAGTTGTTCACGGTCATGGTCATGCACATGCACATGCACATGCAGCTGCGCATGGTCTCAGTGGTGGTTATTTTCCAGGCAAGTCAACTGTTTACAATCAATACGATGTTGATGAATATCATCATAACTCACCATACAAACGACAGGACCGTAAAGTGAATTTTGATAAGCCACGAGAGAATATAGCACGTACAACATCAGCAAGCGTCACAGTTCCAGATCATTTCTATGATTATGAAAAGCAAGTGTTAATGCAGGACAGGAGTGGCAAAGTACGCAGTAATACGAATGGAAAACTAGGGCCCAGTGCATATGAGGATGAGGGAGAAACACAACAGCATAACTTCAAGACAACAGAGCGCTTGGGCTGGAAGGTAGTTGATATGAGAGTCTAAAGCTTCAAAATGGATGCTATTAAATTATTGTAAATAGTCGTAAATTATTATTTCTGTATGAATATATGGTTCCTAAAAACGTAATTAAAATTATTAAAATTAATTTTTACTTTAAGTAAATAAATTCTAAAAATCTTGTGCGCTTTTACTTAATTTTCTGCTATAAAAATTTTTTTGTTGAACTTATGAGTGGTGTATGTATGTGTATAATAAATGTTAGTCATATTTGTTAGCTTTAATATTCATTTTTTAAATCTACAAAAGAAAATCAATTAGAAACTTGACAAATTTATCAGCAATCAACAACTTTCTTATCTCAAATTTGTTTGTGAGTTTATTGCACTTGTCTTAATGTTACAATTTCTTGAAGTGCCACGGAAGTCAGTCAAAATTTGTAGTAAAGTCAATGCAAAAAATCGTGGCACTCACCTTTAACCCAAAAATGACAAACGGCGATGAAAGTAAAACTCAAAGTCTTCCGTTCTCTTGGATTTTTTCAGTGACAATGTTAAATACCTTTACACCAAGACAATTTTCAAGCTTCAGTAAACCGTAAACGACTTCAGTTTGACTTCAAAGAAATACTAAAAATATTTTTAATTAATATTGAAGCCATAAAAAGGGCAATAAGAAAAGTTGCAGAGCACTACATTTTATAAAGAGCTCCAAATAAATCACGAAAAATAATTTTTTACGACATAGTAATATTTCATATTTAATATAGAAAGACTAGTAATATTTGAATTATTAGACCTGAATACTCCTTAAAACTTTAAAATACTACAAAATTATATCAAAATCGACAAAAAACGGAACAGCTTCTGAGGTATGAATGAACCGATATTAAAAAATAAACAATTTTGAAGTATAAACAATATATGAGAGGTCAATGGCAATATTTACGATATATACAAATAATATATATTACAACATTTGCATTATATATTATATATTTATATAGATGTTTAGATGTATATATATAATTTTAAGGCTAATCAATAATACACATTAACTGAAATTATAATTCAATTAACCATATAAATGAACTGATAGTAAAAACTGAACAATAATAAGGTATAACCAATATATGAGAGGTCAATAGCAATATACACTATAACTACTTACTCATGTACATATATATATATATATATACATAACTTGTCGACACGTATGTTCGTTGCGCTCCTAGACAATAAGAATTCATTTAACTGATGTATGAATTGAATTGCAGATTTTTTTTATACTGCAGATATATATATAAAAATTGTAAACGGCATAACTATCTGAAATCATTCGAGAACTTGGGTTCAATTACTTTAAAGGATCAAAGGTTTTAGCTTAAAAGCATTTGGGTTTAGAGTCGGTTACCAAGTCCATTTTTTATTCAAGTATACTTTATGTGTTGGTTATGAGAACGATTGATTCTAAGCCTTCTTTTGGAATGTATTAGGGTATCATATTAGGGTATGTTTTGACGTATATTAATTTTCACACAATAATTTTTTTGAATTACTTGAACTTGATTATTTTTGAAATTATTAATAATAATAATATTAAATAAAAATGAAATTAGATTCACTTTTAAACCATAATTTTAACTTTTTAACTTTAATTAAAAATGAATTTAAAAAATATAAAAAAGATATCACATTTATTATAAAACAATAAATCAATAAAACTATATAGAATAGTCAATAAACCTGGAACTCTCTCACTAAAATCTCCAAATGGCGATCTATGCGTCAGATATTGATGATAATCAGTTCTAATCTAATAGAAAACTATACCAATATAGTTTAAATCTATTAAATTATATTCCATTTCAATAGTATATACTCATAATTACACTGACTATATGTCTATGGGTCTATTCCCTTCTGTCTTCTCTTACTAATTAAACTTTAAAGTATTTATAAATATATTCTAAAACGTATGCACTTACTCTAGAAATATTTAGTATCCAAAAAATTATGAAAACTAATTGTAGTGTATCACTTGTAAAGAAAACAATAGTAGCGAGGTTTAATTAATACAGAAATTCGGTTAATGAGATTTCTATCAATGAACCCATACGAGTGTATGCCATGCTTTGACAAACAACTTAATTATTTTCACCAAAAACTGTAAAAGTAGAAATATTTAAAGTATTAAAAAATTAAAAAACTATTCTAGGCAGACGCACTAAATGAGACTTTTGACATTAAAAGGCGGTGGGCGTATCCCAACCGTAGATATATAAACCACCTAGCAAACGGAAAAGAGCTCAGTTTTATTTTCAGTGAGTGTTTAACAGTTTAAAAATATATTATAAAAAAAGTGCCAAAAAAATAAATAAATTTAAAAAAAAAATAAAATAAAATCAATTTAAAGTATTTAGAAAATATTTGAAAAATGTTAAAAATATTGCCAACAACGCACAAAGGATTACTACTACAATGCTTGCTACTCATAAGATACACAGCGATGACGATAACGACAACAAAGGATAATACACCAGGTGCTGAGTTCTCAGCTCGCAGCATTGGTCGCTCATTGGCGCAGTGCTTTGGCAGTGAAGAAAAACTGAAATGCTTCCAAATGCAATTAGTCAACGCATTGGATGCAGCAGCACAGGATAATACCACGTGGTACTACAATGATTTCATTCTATTTGAAAAGCGCACTTTGAATGATAATGAAACATTGGAGTGGCAGAAAAGAAGTGGAAGAATAAAGGAAGCAACAGTGACGGAAACACCAAGGGACGACTATGGACATGTGGCACGTTCATTCAGTGATGCAATTGGCGAGAAGTTACTATCGTTGGCTGAAACTCGTTCCATACGCCTGCAGTTGCCTCCTCCAACAGTTACTTATGCACATTTGGATACCGGCATTTCCAATGCGATTGATGATATTACCAGTCCATCAGCGGCGAATGCAGTTATTCAACATATTTATGATAGCAGTGAAGAAGGTACGGTTCGTGTTTTGAATGGTCTTGTAGATGATAAAATTGAAGCTATTAGTACAGGTCTCAAAACCAAAAGCAAAAAGAAAACAAAAACAAAAAAAAAGAAAACTAAAACCAAAATCAAAAAAAGTAACATTGAAAGCCAGGATATATTGGTATTTAACTCATAAACTTTTGCTTTAAGGACGCAAAAAGAAGGACAAGGACAAGGGTGGCGCTATGATGGGCGGTATGGCGATGATAGCTGTTGTGGCCCAAATGTTTCTTGGTAAAGTTATTTTAATTGCTGGTGCTGCATTCGTTATGGCCAAAATAGCACTACTCGTATCATTGTTGGTGAGTATGAAATTATCTCTAATTGAGCTTATGCAAATGTATGGTGTAGAAGTGTAATTTGAAAATAATATGCAACTATAAAGAAATATTCGTTTCTGTATAGAAAGTATAACAAAATAAAAAAAAATAACTGAAAAGAAAAAACTATGACCAGAAAGATATCAATTAAGATAAATCTAAAATTAATGGAACTTTCTAAAAACATAGAATGACAAGAAAGGTTGAAATATATATAGTATATATAGTATACAATATTTATATAGCTTCAAAATAGTTGGTCTTCATGTATAACACAGAAAACAATTAGCTATGGATTTGCAGAAATTTTAATATCCAAGATATAGGGAATTATGCTATAAACTAAGTTTTAAATATCAACTCTCTAAATGTAATTAATACGAATATTAATTTATGTTATTTTTAAAATTATTTCTAAATAATTTTTATTAAATTTACGAAAGATGACCATTTTTATACACTTTTTTATGGATCCACTGATACTGATAGTATTAAAGTCATTATTTATATTTTAACAAATATCTAGACTGATGTTGGTAAATCGTTTCTTCAAATATTGATCAAAAATATATAAATGTTTTAAAAGTCAATTTTCCTCTTACTATAGTTTTACAATAGTTTATATGGTATAGAAAAACGTTTGCTCCTTAATATAGAATACATGTTATAATAATAAGGTGTGTCATTAAAATAATTTAAATATCACTCTCGCTCGCAAATTTTGTTAATTAACAAAATATTTTAAATAAACTTTTTTAACCCTACATGATCTTGAACATGCCCCAGCAGATTTCTGACGCTTTAGTTCTTAAACAAAGAATAGTTCTTCAGACTAGCTAGTTATACACGCAGTCATGGTCACGAAATTGAGAGAAAGAAAGAAAATTTAATAATTTTCATTTGGTTAAAGTGACGAGGCTTTCTTTGCCTTCTAACGTTGACCAAAACAGTGTTGCTAAGTACTGATGGCAGAATTTAGCCTTTTAGGAACATATAGTATATGTAATGCTCTTTGGATATATATAAATATTCAACCAAAAAATTATACCTTCAAAATTCAGGCAGAACCAGAAAATATCTTTGCTCATCTGGTTGTTATGTTTCTGAAAAAAATTGGAAAAAAATTCACTGCAGCTAATTCTATGTATGCATAGAGCTGACATAATAGAGCTTATTGTTTTAATATGCCTCGGAAACGAACATTACAAAAACACTGTTACTTTCATTTTAATTTTTTTTGGAGAGTTTCGAACAATTCAATTTTTATTAATTAAAAATAAATAAAAATTTTTGCAGCTGCAATTCAGCACTATTTGAAACTTATCTATTAAATACAATAGTTTCTAATCTCCTTCTTCTTGTTCTTGAGTTAGTGCTATTACGCACTTTTACTCAATAATGGCTGGTGGGCTTATCACTACCTCACACTAGGCTTTAACTAGGCTAAGAAATCATATCATTTATTTGTCTTTTAGTTGATGACGGACCTTTAATCAGCATATCTCCCTGAGAATCCAGAAGTGGACTTGAGGATTATTAGGGCGGGGTTAAGTAGCGTATCAAGTTTAGTGAATAATTTTAGAGCTCTGTCTCTGATATATTTTTTCACTGAACCAATCCTAAGATCTCGATGTATGCCTGTTGATCTAATATACCATGGAATCTTAAACAGTCTTCTTAAAGCCAGGCTTTGAGTTATCTGTATTTGCTTTAAAGTAGTATTTGAGGCTTTGCTATATGTAACGCATAAAAATCAAATTTATTTAGAATTTCTTTATAAAGAACTAAATTCTATATCTTCACAAAAAAGTTCCAACTACTCAACTTCTATAAAAATTCCATGCTTTACAAAATAATTATTCCTTTCTACACCATATGTATAAAACAGTGAAAATCTGCACTACTAGAGTATCATTTTAGGGCAGTCTCAAAAAGGGATCGAGTGGAAGCAGTGGTAGCAGTCCAGAACATGTCATAGTTACAAGTGATAGCGGACATAGTCATGGCGGCGGGTGGCACCGCAGTATGCCACACGACTACGCCAAAATTGTAGCAGCCAGCCATGAACATCACGCCGTCGAATATGCACCGTCAGTAACGCACAGTGTGGAAAGCCATTCATCGCCGCACATAAGCATCTCAGCAGAAGAGAAACCGAAACATAGTCACTATAATTACGAAATCACAGAACATGATGATGAGGAATTCAGAAGAAGACAAGCTACAGGATTTCTTTAGTTTTAAAAAGAATTTTATTCATATTTTCACATTGCATTATCAACAAAACAAAAAAAAATTAAATTATTTTTCATCAATTAAACAGAAATTCAAGAATTACTTTTTTACTTAAGCTAAGTTAAGCAAGCCAAATGCTGCACATTGTAATAATTAACCTAAATGCTAATGGTGATTAATTTCTTTAATGTTTAATGTTTAAGCAATTAAAATGTTGCATTTATCTTTGGTTCGTTTTGTTTTCTTGTTACGTTTAAGTTTTCTTAAAATTATTTTAAGTTTGCATGCAACACGCGCCACTTCTGTGGCACGCCAACCTCTGCAAACTGCATTTTTCAGAAACGCCTCGAACGCTTTTATGACGTTTTTGTGGGTACCCAAGCTTGATACGCCTTGTCCTGTGCAGCAGCCGCGTCACTTATACTGCGATGATATGAACCGCTTTCGTGTCCGCTCTCATACTCGCCTGCATGACTGGAGGAGTACGTGTGCGATTGCTGTACCTGCGGATGTTTCACAATTTCATATGTGGTCTTCTCACTTTCATTGGAGACTAGCTTCTTCAGGCCAATAATAGCACTAATGATGAGTGCTATTTTACCCACAATCAACGCCTTTCCTGCCACAATTGCAATTGAATGATAGGCCATTTTCAATATGGCTGCTTTAAGCATAACAGCGGCAATGAATGGACCCAAATATTTTCTATCCTTCTTCTTACGTCCTTCGACGACTTCATTGTCCATGAACGGTGCTAGCAAATTTAACAGACCTGTCACTAAGTCTTGACTATTGTGTTGCCCCAGAGTAAGCAAACGCGGAAAACTTACTTGTACCTGCCGGCTCTGTACAAAATTAATGAATCTTTCGAACAACAAAGCATCCAAGCTTTTCGCTGACAAGTGCTCCAAATCTCGATTACTCAAATTCAATTCTGTGGCACGTCCAATACGTGTCGTGTTATCCGTTTTCCGCACAATGGAAATTCCATCAATTATCTTGATATTTTGCACTTTCAGTGCTCGACCAAGCAGTTTGGTACCTTGCAATTTGAGGCACCAAAATATGTCATCGCTTTCAGCGCAATGTGTGTATATGTGCTTAAGGGTGCGAGACAACCCATTATCCAACAATGTGCTGCGCCCAGTCGTGTTATCCGTTTCTATTGCATGCACAGCTGCTACTGCAGCCACCAGTATGGTTAAGGTGCACAATTTGAAATTCACACGCATTTTTATTTAGTTTTTTATATATTATTTATTATTTAGAAAATTTCATTTAATATTCCACTTTTCACTGCCACTCAAAGTCCTTTAATTAGTTTCTATTTTTTGAATTTTTTATTTAATTATTTTTAATTTCGTTTCTGCAGCCGTTACAATTCCAATTCAAAATACAACTGATCTTCTCCACTCGTTTGCCAATCAATTTTATACACTCTGCGTTCCAGCAATTATACATCATCCAAATGCCTAAACACAATGCATCACTTCTTTCCGGACCCAGATTCATCGTCGAATCGGGCAATTTCTATAAAATATTTGCTTTTATTTGCAGTTTGGATTTTTAGAGCGGAATGTGCATGTCTGCCTCGATACGTTGCCATACAAATTTACAGCTTCGATGCTAATTGAGCGCATTGATTGCATTTGAAATTAAGAAAATAACATTGAGACGAAATTTACACAAAAATGAAAATAATTATAATTACTTTTATTGCTAATCCGGGCTTAGGGTAACACTTTCTTGCGTTTTGCGTACACCCACTTTCACGTTTGTGAAATTTACTGCATTGCTCATATTTTAAAGATGCGCGTACACTGTGAAAAATTGAAATTCAATTTCGAAATATTTGAATTTTTCCATAAATTATGTTAAAATTAATGTTTCTCCTTAATAATAATAATAATAATAAAATATTTTAGTAAAATAGTTTCATAAAAAAAGACAGGGACTCACAATTGATTAAAATGTTTAAGATCGTTCGAAGTAATGTCAAAGACCTCTAACCTCTAATTGAACATCCCTGATAAAATTCAAGGCTGTATAACTTAAGTATCAGTCGATATACTGCATTTAGAATCCATAAATTTTCAATTTTAAACAATTTAAAACCAAACAAATAAAAACTCAGTTAAGCCTCCTAAAAAGGAACTGCCCAGATTTGTCTTCTTACAAAACTGAAAATTTAATCTTATAAAATTTATGGGGCTAAAAGTAGTTTAAGTCTAGATAAGATTGAAACGCATGCTAGAAATTTTCCTGTCAAAGATACATAAATAAAAAAAATATCTTGAAAAACATCTTATAACAGATGAAAAAAATAAGAGTCGGTAAATTTGTTTTATTATTCAATTTATTAAGGAAATAAAATACAAAGTAAGGGTGCATAGAAGATTTTAAGGGATCATAATGTAAAAACCTTCGACTTAATAATAAAAATAAAAAAAATGTTTTAATCAGAAATTAAACTTATAATTTTTGACACATAATTACAGTATTCCCACCTATAACGCGGTATCCTTATAACTCGTTTTCATATTACGCGATTTCAATCCCCCATATAACACGGGCATTCCCCCATATAACGCGGGGATTTGTACAGTTCATAATTAGCTTCGCGTACCTTTGCACTTGTGTATACGGGATATACGGGAATACCACTATAATGCGTTTTCCAATAACGCGGAACCAATCTACCGCGTTATATGAAGGATTATTGTATAACATATACCTAAAAAATATCTTTCCCGGTAGCCAAATTACGCCAAAGAAGAGACTATAACGATCAAAATTGGCGCTTTTTATAACACTTTGATCATTTTCAAAAAACTATAAGTTTTTAGCACTACTGGATCAAATGCAGTGAATTACTTGTGGACTTTCTTTATATCGTGGATGCATATTGGATGTATATTGTGGATGCATATATCGGTTGTGGATGCATATATCGATTGATTCGTCAATCATTAAATTAATTGTAAATATATATCCTTGGAAGTACGAAATGATAAAACCTTAAACTTAGGAGATTATACTTAAACTTATGTAGGAGAGTATAGAAAAGCATCAACAATATAGTAAAATCAACAATAATAAAAACTGCATGTTAAGATTAAGTGAATCACAACAACAATATTTTATATATCTTTAATTAATTGATTTTTTGGCTAATAATGCAGCTGTTACAAGTCTTGGGAAATACCCAACATCAGTGGCCTTTTTGAAAATATATCTTCTATTTAATTTTTATAAACAATTTTTTGAGACTACATGTATTAACAGTTGAGCTTGTATCCTGGGAATATGTTATTGAATAATATGCTTTGAAAGGACTAAGGTCCAACTTGAAGTATACATACTCCTAATATCAACTTTTTTATAGGAACTTATGAGTACAATATCCTACATACACCAACAATATTATGACTTAACCACCTAAACACAGTTATGTCAGAACCATGTACACATCCTTTCAGTTGGTTATTTTTGTTAGGCGTAAAGTTTGGTCATCTCTGTAAGTAGTACTAAGTGCTATTTCCATACCATATATCCAAAAATAAGATCGAAAGAAAAGTTTTTGAAGGATAATATTCGGGATGATAAGAGAAATTGCTTAGTGGGCTTAGTCAGGGAAGATTTGACAATGGCATGCACTTGACAATTAAAGCAGGTACACAATTCTTGGGCATATTAGAGGCATATGAGTCTGTGGTATACGAATATTGCAAATTACTTGCTAACCGCACCCAATACGACTCTGGTTCTTGTTAGATTATAATGTAGCGATAATATTAGATTAATATAGATCGATATTATTAAATAGGTATTCGATAGATAGCATTTCAATTGTTGTTATTATTTTCTCAATGTACTTCTATAAAGCTCTCTTATCTTTTTTTTTGTTGTTATACTTTTTAAGTTATTTTTTCATATTTATTTTTTTAATATAAATTTAATTGATGGCATATGTGATAAAATGTGTTTAATTAGCGTTTCATATGAAATTATTGTTTTTCTCCTGGCTTCTTATAAATATATTATTAACGGAAGAGTGGATTGGATTGGACAAAGTAAAAATGAAAATAATATTACAGCAAGTCAAGTCGAGCTGCGTGATACGAGTAGCTGCCATTTAATTATCGAAAATTAGTATTGTACGAGAACTCGAGAACAGAATAAAACACTAAACCACTGAACTGAATTATTTTTCTTGTTACTGTGCCAGTTCTAGATACAAATAACAGCAACTTTTTCATTGTAAGTAGCGCAGATACATTTTACTAATGAAAATGATATTTCTACTTATCGCATAAAATAGTTTTTCTTCATTTATTGAGATAAATACTTGAAAGTGTACACTTTCACACTAAACGCAGAAAGCCTTAGAGATTGACTGAAGACAGTTGAAATGTAGAAAATTGCTCCTACAAAAATCCATAAAACATCAAATTTTTTTTTACTTTTTGGTTAGTGCACACTTAAATATGTATTGAAAGCAACAAATTATGGGGAAAAGTGCTTAAAGATTTAACGTGTGAGATACGAGGAAAATAAAAACGAATTTGGAAATGCCTTTTTTGCAAAAATACTCGTCGTATTGTTTTGAAGGAATTTACGACCAACGAAAGTACGACGTGTCTCCATTCACGTTTTATATTACAAAAGAATTTTGACTTCAACATGTCAAGTTACTGCACATTCGTAATTGCAGTATGAGGGCGTGCTGCATTTTTTTTTTTTTTTTTTTTTTGTTGGTATGCCTGAGGCTCAAAGAAACTTATCTGTAAGTTTGTATGCCAACAGTCGACACTGCTTTTCTAAGCAGCATCTGTTGTTTCTAACTTAAGTAATTGCTGTTTTGAAATTTTCAGATCCCTACTATTTTTGTCCAAAACGTTTGTTTGTTACTCAAGGCTACTAAGAAGAAAAATCATTTTGGTGCTAACAGTAGCGGATTCATGACAGGCGGGTGTGGCGATTATTGTCTGTTAAAATATTTAATGACTGAAATAATTACTGATTTCCTAAAAAATAAGATAGTTATTAAAAGAAAAATGAGTGTCAGAAGATAAAAAACTATATAATATATCAGTAATACCTACTAAAACCCTCATCGTATTCAGATATCTCTACAAAACCCTTCAAATTAATTGAAACATAGTCAGGATATGTTAACTAAAATAAAATGCATAACCAGAATAACCTAACCTGATTTAAAATAAAATTTACGGGTAACAAACCATTGCAGGCTACCAAACATAAGAATATTGAAGTAAATGAAAATACAGAAAATTTGGCCCACCTTCGATATAACCTTGTCGTACTCCTAGAGATACTAGTTTATGTTTTCCTGAAGATTGCTAAGAAAAGGTACATGACTTTATATTCTTTAGGTAACCAATAATAAATTAAGCATATTCCGGCTCCCGTTTAATAAGACCAAATCTTGGACATTAATTAAAAAGGACCGCGTGCATACTGCAGTTCTGATTGGTTATGGGTGTAGCATACACATAGATGAACTGTATATTACTTTCAAAATTCAATGTAGAAGTTTACAGGAAAGATAAATTCTTAAGAATTTTCTCTGTGACTGCACAATTTCAGCTTTCAGAAGGAACAGATTTTAAAGAAAGTATGATTTTGATAGTTTCTTAGACTGTTCATCGGTAAGGATGCAAGATCATTTAAGTATTTAAAGTCAGCGGGTTAGATTTACTACTATTACTATTGTCTACTTCACCCAGTGGGACATAGGGCCTGAATAATTCTTCTAAATTTGACTCCATTTAGTGCTTCTCTGCAGTTGCCGTTCCATGTATATCGTACTTCAGCTAGCACGATAGATTTAGCTTTGCTTTTAATATAGATTTAGTTAGATTTAGTTTAGCTTTTAATATCTTAGGGAAAATTGGGAGGTATACGATAGTAAATCGTTGCTAATTTTGTTTAGCGGAAGAATATCTGCTGTAGTGCTACTGTAATCAACCAATTGACTATTGATGTAACTAGGAATTAAGGAACTAGAACTAGAAGAGACTATTTCTAAAAATAATTTTGAAAAAATATGTGTTTTACAAAATGAAACGTAATTAATTAAACTTAAACAAGAATAAATAAATTAAAAATAATAATTAATAATAATTAAGAAATAATTAATAACTTAAAAAACAATATAATAAAATAAAGTAAAGGAAAATTAAATAAAATTAAACAATTAAAAAGTATT